AAAAAAAAAAAAACTAAGAATTTAAATAATAAAAAGAAGCTAGTTCAACAGAAGGTTAATCACGTAAGCAAAGTCACAGGCTAAAGACTAGCTGCACAACATGTACAAAGTTGTTTTAATTGTAGTGCCCTTCTTTTTTTTATAGAAACAGAGTCTTACTTTATCGCCTTGGTAGACTGGTGTGGCATCACAGCTCACAGCACCTCCAACTCCTGGACTTAGGCGATTCTCTTGCCTCAGCCTCCCGAGTAGCTGGGACTACAGGCGCCTGCCACAATGCCTGGCTATTTTTTTGTTGGAGTTTGCTGGGGCCGGGTTCAAACCCTCCACCCTCTATATATGGGGCCAGCGCCCTACCCACTGAGCCACAGGTGCTGCCCCCCCCCCTTTTTTTTTCTTTTTGACACAGAATCTCACTCTTTTCTCCTGAGTAGAGTGCCATACCATCATCACAGCTCACAGCAACCTCACACTCTTGGGCTTGAGTGATGGTCTTGCCTCAGCCTCCCAAGTAGCTGGGACTGTAGGTGCCCACCACAGTGCCTAACTAGTTTTTCTATTTTCAGTACAGACGTGGTCTTGCTCTTGGTCAGGCTGGTCTCAAACTTGTGAGCTCAAGCACTCTACCTGCCTCAGCTTCCCAGAGTGCTTGGGTTACAAGCATGAGCTACCATGCCTAGCCCATTGTGTCCTCCCTAAGCAGTTTCCAGTAGACAAAGAAGGATTAGCTTTTTGCCTTTTTTAAATGAGAAGTAGCCAAATATATAATTTTTGGAGAATGAATTATCAAGTTTATGTTTTATAAAAGGCTGAAGAAAAGAAGAAATCTTCTTTGGAGATTCATTATAGAAAGATTTTGAATGCTGAAGAATGATGAAAACTATCCGTAAACTTGATGTGAGAAATACTGCTTATTTGGGGTTTTTTGAATTTTTTAAAAATGTATTGATTTGCATTTAAAAGTAACTGCCAACAAAGATTCACTGGTAATGAACAAGTGGGAAAATACAGTCAACACTACTGAAAGACTGCTAAGACAATTCCAGGACATTGGTTTATGTAATGAACAAAACCTCTTAGATGGTGTCAGCAATCAAAACCTGGCTGATGCTTAACTGTCTGAACACACAGTGTGGTACATTTTACAACATTCAATCATTTCTGTCTTTAATATATAAAAAATTAAAATACCAATTAAAAAACTAATATATCTTCTCTTTAAGTGTTTCTTACAGATATAATTTCAATCCTTTGTTCAATAGTGACATGGTTGAAGAGATTTTTTTCATTTACAAGTTAAACAACAATCCACCCATAGGGAACCAATAGACTATAGGCTCACAGTACAAACAAAGAGTTCAGGAATGCAGCAAGTGACAATTGTAAAGTACAAAACAGATAAATTTCTTGGAAGATACATGCAGAAAGCTCTACTAAGCAGATGGCCACAGAACTAGAATGTTTGATAATTTTATTGTTGATGTTAATAGGTCTCCAGATGTTTCCAAACTCTACTTGAACTTTTAGGCTTTGTATTTTGCTTTTTCAGTTTCACTAATGACACAAACATGGCTCAAATCCCTGAAGTATTCGTTACAGTTAAGGGCATATCCTACGACAAACTTGTCTGGAATTTCAAATCCAACAAAGTCTGGCCTGTATCCAACACTTCGAGGGGTCCTTTTCCCAACAAACTTGTGACCTTGACCATCTTTGGATTATACTGCTTGATACAAGGAAAGCAAGGTTTGCATTGTCTTGCCAGTGTCAATTTATATCTTCAACAATCAAGACATTCTTTTCAGTTAAAGTTGAGAGATCATCTCCACCAATTACTTTTATGTCCTCGGTTTACTGGTCATTATAGTAGCTCTTCAGTCTGATAAAATCTACAGTCATAGGAATGGATCTCTCACTATTTCTATTCAATGCTTTGATGTAATCCAGCAGGTCAGCAAAGAATTTATAATCCCCCTTGAGCGCACAAAGGACTACATGTGATGTGATAGTCTCCCATCTCCTTCATCACATCTCCAGCAAGCCATTCAGTCCTGTCCATAACTAGTGCATGAGGAATAGACACCTTTTCCAAAACCTCAGTATAATGATTAGGTATGCAGAATAAATCGAGGTCATAACCTGGTTCATCATCACTAATCACGATGCTAGGGCTGCAGGTTGCCATAAGTGAGCCAGTTCTTATTTGGGTTTTTAAAAAAACTTTGTTGGTATATTTATTCACAAATTCTACAGGATTCATTGAATAGAGATTTGCCATATAGTATAATTCAACTGTCCTAAACTCGTCTAGTATGATGAATTGTAAATATGGATAGATTATAGCCTCTTGTGATTGATCATCTTCATCATGAATAATGGTATGCCAAAGTAAATTTAGAGGATACAGTAAAGCATTCTGATATTGGAATCATTTTAACAAAACTTATCATTTATCTATCTTATTTTGTAATAAGTAAAAAAAAATAGATAAGTATTTAACTTCCAAAGTCTCAATATCTTAATTATAATCTGAAGACAAGTGGTGATACTACCATAGGATTTGATATATAAGGAAAATCTGAACTATATCACAGTAATAGAAAATGTGTACTCAAGAAAGGGTCAGGCTTCAGAATCAGGTTAGCTCTTATGACAGGGTAACAGTCCAGATTTGTAGAGTAATTTTTAATTTAAAATATAATACTTCTGTGTACTTTTTCAGTAGGTAAAACAGATACAACTACTTAAGTGACAATTTACCGAAAATAGCAAGAACTATGATGAATAATGCACAACCCACAACCATGGCAATATACTGGGCTTCATTCTTCTTTTTTTTTGAGACAGTCTCACTAGGTAGCTCTTGGTAGAGTGCCATAGCATCACAGCTCACAGCAACCTCCAACTCTTGGGCTTAAGCAATTCTCTTGCCTCATCCTCCCAAGTAGCTGGGACTACCGGCACCCACCACAACACCTGGCTGTATTTTGGTTGCAATTGTCATTGTTGTTTAGCTGGCCCAGGCCGGGTTCAAACCTGCCAGCCTGGCTGTATGTCACTGGCATTGTAACCACTGTGCTATGGGCGCCAAGCCTGGGCTTCATTATTCTTATTGAACAAACTTGGAAAATATGACTTTTTTTTTATTAAATCATAGTTGTGTACATTAATGCAGTCATGGGGTACAGTGTGCTGGTTTTATATACAATTTGAAATACTTTTATCAAACTGGTTAACACAGGCTTCATGGCATACTCTTAGTTATTGTGTTAAGACATTTATATTCTACATTTAGAAAGATTCACATGTACCCTTGTAAGGTGAACCATAAGTGTGGTCCCACCAAACACCATCCCGGAAAATATGACTTTTTAGGAGCCACATCAAAACAACAAAATTGCTGCAGCCCAAGTACAGTTCCATTTATTATTGAACACTACCATGTGATTCTATATCTAGCCTAAGAAAAAGAACGTTTGTGTTATTTTGCCTAATAAGCTCTAGAACAGTGGTTCTCAACCTTCCTAATGCCACGATCCTTTAATACAGTTCCTCATGTTGTGGTGACCCCCAACCAAAAAATTATTTTCGTTGCTACTTCATAACTCTAATTTTGCTACTGTTATGAATCATAATGTAAATAGCTGATATGCAGGATGTATTTAGGCAACCCCTGTGAAAGGGTCGTTTAACCCCCAAAGGGGTCAGAACCCACAGTTTGAGAACCGCTGCTCTAGAACTTACTAGACCCAAGAGCCATTGCTGCAACCAGAATAAGTGGAAACCATATTACTGCCTAACTGCAAAAATACATACCCCTGGATTGAGTGATCATCACTGCTTCATAGTGTGGTGTACTGTCAAGACTCATGCGTGGTGTAGAAATCCAGTTCACATCTACACAAAAGGTTGAACCGAATGGGTCAAACAGACACTGCCCTCTGACACACACACACATGCATACCACATTCCATCATGCTTTAAAAATGACTAATCATCCTAGCACTCTGGGAGGCTGAGGCAGGTGGATTGCCCAAGCACACAGGTACCAGCCTGAGCAAGAGCAAGATTCCATTACTAGAAGTAGCCAGGCTTTGCAGCAGGCACCTGTACTCCCAGCTACTTGTGAGGCTGAGAAAAGAAAATCACTTAAGCCCAAGAGTTTGAGGTTGCTGTGAGCTTGATGCCAGGGCACTCTACCAAGGGGAACAAGTGAGACTCTGTCTCAAAAAAAGAAAAAGCTGACTAATCCCTTTAAACTTCTCAAGTGCCATGTTGTACCAGAAGTCCATCCACTGAATATTGCTTATAGCCAAATTAAGTATCATTCCACTCTCAGTGTTATTTAAAAGGATCCAATCTACACATTATACTCTTATTCGTCCTTGTAGTTTCTGGTTTCTGTAGACTATTTCTCCATAACTCTTACCCGCCACCTACTCCCAACTATCTTAGCCCTGTTCCACTGTATAGAACCAGTTCTGACATATTTCATAAAGAATTTCAGGAGCTTTACCTACTGATCCAGCTTTGTGTATAGGTTCTAACAACTGAGTTTTGGCCTTATTCAGAATACCTTGTAGTAACATGAATCCTCATCTTTTTAATCTCCTTGTGCTATAACCTTACAATTTTGCCAGCACCCCTCGGGAACTGGAGAATTTACCAATTTCTAGTATGCTATTGTAGTCCTGTTTCCCGCAGGTAAACATTTTTGCCCAACTGCATTCCTGCATATCACCTGTGCCACATTTCTTTTGTTATTCTCATTTTCTACAAAGCCTCATTTACCGGTGTCTGGTAAAACTTAACATGGCAAGGATCCCACATTTTCACTGTCCTAAGAATCCTCAGTGCTCTGCCTGCTCAGCCCTGGCAACCACTGATCTTTTTAATGACTCCATAGTTTCACCTTTTCCAGAATGTCATATAGTTGGAATCATACAAATATGCAGCCTTTCAGATTGGTTTCTTTCACGTAGTGATACACATTTAAGGTTTCTCCATGCCTTGATAGCTTATTTCTGTTCCGTGCTAAATAGTATTCCAGCATGTGGATATGTTAGTTTATCTGTTCCTTTACCTGTGTCTTGGTTGCTTCTACATTTTGGCAATTATTAATAAGGTTACTGTAAATATCCATTTGTTGATATTTGTATGGACATGAATTTTCAGTAATTAAATAAATACAAAGGAGTGCAGTTGCTAGATAATACACTAAGAGTATGTTTAATTTTATAAGAAATCTCCAAATGATTTGCCAAAGCAGCTGTACCATTTTGAATTCCCACTAGCAGTTATTATAATAAGAGTTCCTGGCAGTGCCTGTACATCAGTGGGTAGGGCTCAACTGTGACAAAAAAATAGCCAGGCTTTGTGGTAAGTGCCTGTAGTCCCAGCTACTTGGGAGGCTGAGGCAAGAGAATCGCTTGAGCCCAAGAGTTTAAGGTTGCTGTGAGCTATGACGCCATGGCACTCTACCAAGGGTGACAGCTTGAGACTGTGTCTCAAAAAAAAAGTTCCTATTGCTCCGCATCTTTCCGAGCATTTGGTGTTATCAGGGTTCTGTATTTTGGCCATTCTAATAGGTGTGTAGTAGTATCTCATTGTCTTAATGTATCGCTTGTTAATGTGTTTTAGAGCCTGGGAATACATTAGCCATAATGTAAGGAAGCAAGGTTCGTTGTTAGTGACGGTACCAAGTCTTGAAGAGTCTCTCTCAGGTCTTCAGGTATGTAATCCTCTTATTAAACATTTTTATTGTTAAACTTTCCCCCTCCTTTTTTTCTGATAGCTATTTAATATAGAAATATTCTATCTGGAAATAGTGACAGGTGATAGAAAAAATAGCAAGACTTTATGGCTTAAGCACTGGTTTTGATTTCTCCACTGGTCTCAAGAGCTCTGAAATAGTGATCTTATCTTGGTATAGATTCCTTTGCTTGTCTGCATAGTTTTTTCCAACTGTAGGGTTAGAGTTTTAGGTTAACAAACACTATTGAATGTTTGCAAGAGGCTTAGAACACCCACATGTTAACTTTGTTAATAAACTTTCCTTAAAACGAAAGGAAGAGAACTGTTCAAGGCTTCTAGAATCAAGTGAGTAGACTGGAGCCCACATACTATGTGCGCTTTTGGCTTCTAAGTCCATTTGAAATCTTGCACAAGATACTTCTTTGTTCCCTAGATTCTTCATATACAATAAGGCCAAAATTTAATAATGAAATTCAACCCAATAAATTCACTTAAATGAAAGTTAATTAGTACGGTAGGACCTCCATAGTTGACTACTACCTCCCTACATTGGCCACTTCCTTAAGGTGACCTAATTTTCATAGACTGGACATGTACCATGTGTACATATTAGTACAGTGGACCTAGTTCCTTATATTGACCACCTGCATATATTGACCCGTTTGGTACAGTCTTTTGGGTAGTCAACTTAACACAGGTTCTACTATATTTGAAAAGCTCTTTGAGATCTCTATCTGAAAGGTACTATTGTATTTCTTTTTTTTTTTTTTTTGAGACAGAGCCTCAAGCTGTCCCCCTGGGTAGAGTGCTATGGGCATCACAGCTCACAGCAACCTCCAAATTCTGGGCTTAAGCAAGTCTCCTGCCTCAGCCTCCCAAGTAGCTGGGACCACAGGCGCCCGCCACAGCGCCCGGCTGTTTTTTGGTTTCAGCCATCATTGTTGTTTGGCAGACCAGGCTGAATTCGAACCCGCCACCTTAGGTGTATGTGGCTGGCACCTTAGCCATTTGAGCCACAGGCACCGAGCCTCCTTTTTTTTTTTTTTTTTTGAGACAGAGTCATGCTCTGTTACCTGGGCTAGACTACCATGGCCTCAGGCTAACTAACAGCAACTTCAAACTTCTTGAGTTCAAGAGATCCTCCTGCCTCAGCCTCCCAAGTAGCTAGGACTACTGGTATACACCATGCCCAGCTAATTTATTTTTCTTTCTTTCTTTTTTTTTTTTTCTGAAACAGAGTCTCACTGTCACCCTTGGTAGAGTGCCATGGTGTCATAGCTCACAGCAACCTCAAACTCTTGGACTCAAGCGATCCTTCTTGCCTCAGCCTCCCAAATAGCTGGGACTACAGGCACCCACCATAACAACCGGCTATTTTTAGAGATGAGGTCTCACTCTGGCTTAGGCTGGTGTCAAACTTGTGAGGTCAGGCAATCCATCTGCCTTGGCCTCCCAGAGACCTAGAATTATAGACGTGAGCCACAGCGCCCAGCCTAATTTTTCTGTTTTTAGTAGAGGCCAGGCACAATGGCTTACACTCGTAATCTTACCAACCTGGGAGGCCAAGGCAAGTAGTTGCTTCAGCTCATGACCTCAAGACCAGCCTAAGCAAGACTCAGGCCCCTGTCTCTACTAAAAATAGAAAAACCAGCTGAGTGTAGTGGCACACGCCATAGTCCCAGCTACTTAGGAGGCTGAGGCAAGGGAATTGCTCAAGCGCAAGAGTTGGAGAGATGTTGCTATCAGCTATGATGCCATGGCACTCTACCCAGGGCATGGAGTGAGACTTTTTTAATAGAGACAGGGTCTCTTTTGCTCAGGATGGTCTTGAACTTCTTTTTTTATATATATATATTTTTTTTCAATTAAATCATAACAGTGTACATTAATACTATCATGGGGTACAGTGTACTGTTTCTGTATACAATTTGAAGTACTTTCATCTAACTGGTTAACATAGCCTTCATGTCTTTTTCTTAGTTATTATGTTAAGACATTTATATTCTACATTTAGAGAGATTCACATGTACCCTTATAGGATGAACCATAGGCGTGATCCTGCCAATCACCCTCCCTCCCCTCCCCTCCCTCTCCCCTCTCCCCATGTTCCTGGGCTAAAATTAGGTTATAGCTTTCCTATGAAAGCTGTAAATTAGTTTCATAGTAGGGCTGAGTACATTGGATACTTTTTCTTCCATTCTTGGGATACTTTGCTAAGAAGAATATTTCCAGCTCCATCCATGTAAACATGAGGGAGGTAAAGTCTCCATCTTTCTTAATGGCTGCATAGTATTCCATGGTGTACATATACCACAATTTATTGATCCATTCGTGGATTGATGGGTTCTTGGGCTTCTTCCATGACCTAGCAATTATGAATTGGGCTGCATGGTCTTGAACTTCTGAGCTCAAGCGATCCATCTGCACTGGCCTCCGAGAGTGCTAGGATTATAGGTATGAGCCCCTGTACGTGGCCATCTTAATACAGAATATTATCATCATTTTCTCTAATGGTGCTTTTCTTGCATTTGAGCACTGCCAATTTTAACTACCAGTTTCTCCCTTCATAAAATTAAGCAATGATGCCAGATGTGGTAACTTACGCCTATATATAATCTTAGCACTTTGGGAGGCCTAGGCAAGAGAATCACTACAAAAAATTTAAAAATTAGCCAAAACTGAGGCAAGAAAATCACTTGAGCCTAGGAGTTTATGTTTGCTGTGAGCTATGAACAAGGCACTGCACTCCAGGCTGGGCTGGAGTGAGATTGTGTCTCAAAAAAAAAAATTATCAATAAAACCTTTTTAAAGAAATTCTTGTTATCTAAATTATAAAAAGTGGTTCAGCACCCATAGCACAGTGATTATGGCACCAGCCACATGCACTGAGGGTGGTGTGTTCAAGCCCAGCCTGGACCAGCTAAACAACAATGACAACTACAACAGAAAAATAGCTGAGTATTGTGGCAAGTGCCTATAGTCCCAGCTACTTGTGAGGCTGAGACAAGAGAATCGCTTAAGTCCAAGAATTGGAGGTTGCTGTGAGCTGAGACGCCATTGCACTTTACTGAGGGTGACATAGTGAGACTCTATCTCAAAAAATAAAATAAAAAAATAAATTACAAGAGGCATTTATGCTTATTATAACAAGGGAAATAAATGATCCTGAAATTTGTAAAAGATGTGTAAAGAAAAGGTGCTGATCTTCCCAGTTTCCCCCATTCACTGCCTCTCTCTGAGATTTCCACCCTATGAGTGATGTGATCCTCCTATACTTTTCCATACTCATAAAAACATCTTTTGCGCAGCACCTGTGACTCAGTGGGTAGGACACCAGCCCCATGTACCAAGGGTGGCAGGTACAAACCCAGCCCTGGCCAAACTGCCACAAAAAATAGCCAGGTGTTGTGGCTGGCGCCTGCAGTCCCAACTACTCAGGAGGCTGAGGCAAGAGAATCACCTAAGCCCAAGAGCTGGAGGTTGCTATGAGCTATAACACCACAGCACTCTACCAAGAGTGACAAAGTGAGACTTTGTCTCTTATAAAAATATATATATATATATCTTTTAATGTACATGGTCTTCAATTTGTATTATAATTTCTATATTCTTTAAAATTCCAAAATCAGAGTCTATTAGGTTCCTGAATCTATAGTCTATCATTTAGTATGACAGAGAAGTCACGTGGTACTACATAGACTTTGTTCTGTCCATTGTAGTAAAAATCTGTTGTGTTCAGTTTTTAATTAGTGAAGATTGCTTGAAATTCCAGAGAATAGAATCACTCTGCAATTTTCATGTGTGTTTATAATCTTTTTTTCCTAGACTAATGTACAGTTATCCCTGTGGGTTGAAGAAATACCACTGAACTATGATGTATACCCACAAGAGGATATTGACAAAGAAGCTCTTGAACAAATTCATTTGTATAAGATTCTCTAGTACTAAAATAGTCCTACCTCATCATAATGTTTTGTTGAGTATATTATAAAATAATGAAAAGGAAATAGAACCCCAATGTCTGAGTACATATCTTTCTGTCCTTATACATATGACTATGTAGTTGTAAATAGTTGTGTATGAATATATGCAACTTTATTCTGTTTTTGTGTACTAACATAAATAAAATATTTATCTGAAAATTTTTGGTTTTCTCCAGTTTCAATTATTCTATTAAAAATAGAAATGTGTCCATATGGCAGTTCAGATAGGACAAAGTAATACTAGAAGTAGCTTCTATCATGACAGAAGGGTAGAGGAGAAGGGTAGATTACATTGTATGCCACTTATTCTATTTCTGTTCTATAAAGTTCTTTGTATACAGCTTTATCTGAAGAGGCTAGCATAGACCTAAAATAAAAAATAATTGCAGTTTCTAGGAAAGAACAAAACTACAAAGATAGCCTTCAAAATACATAGATTATATCTAGATAATTACTTTTTTTCTTTGTGTGCTTTCCTATATTTTCCTTTTTTTTTTTTTCATAACTCTTCTTTTGAAATCAGGGAAAGCAACTGGGCATGGTGGCTTACACCCGCAATCCCAGCCTTTGGGATGCCAAGGTAGTAGGAGCACTTGAGGCCAGGAATTTGGGATCAGCCTAAGCAACATAGTAAGTCTGCCGTCTCTACAAAAAAATTTTTAAAAATTACTAGGTGTGGTGGTGTGCACCTGCAGTCCCAGCTACTCAAGAGGCTGTGGCAGAAGGATTGCTTGATCAGGATTGCACTCCAACCTGGACAGCAGGGCAAGACTCTAACTCTAGAAGGAAATAAAACTTTTTTTTTTAAAGAATGAAATGGGGGCTCAGTGCCTGTGGCTCAAGTGGCTAAGGTGCCAGCCACATACACCTAAGGTGGCGGGTTTGAATCCAGCCCAGGTCTGCCAAACAACAATGATGGCTGCAACCAAAAAAATAGCTGGGCATTGTGGCCGGTGGCTGTGGTCCCAGCTACTTGGGAGGCTGAGACAGGAGACTCACTTGAGCCCAGGAGTTGGAGGTGCTGTGAGCAGTGAAGCCATAGCACTCTACCCAGGGGGACAGCTTGAGGCTCTGTCTCCAAAAAAAAAGAAAGAAAGAAAGAAAAGAAAAAATGGACTTATTAACAGCATGCATAATTACAAACATACAGCACTCAGTGTCATGCTCCATAGGGAGCAGTGTTATTTCCCAAACTCTGAATCCCACTTGTCCCAGTGTTTATCGACTGCTTCTCAGAAGCATGAACCTTTAAAACTGGTGTGTCCAGCTTTTGGCTTCTCTAGGCCACATTAGAAGAGTTGTCTTGGGCCACACATTAAATACACAAACCCTAATGAAAACTAATGAGTAGGCTAGGCACCTGTGTCTCAAGCAGGTAAGGTGCCAGCCACATACACTGGAGCTGGGGGTTTCGAATCCAGCCCAGGCCCACTAAACAACAATGATGGCTGCAACCAAGAAAACTAATGAGTACAAAAAAAAAAAAAAAATTCGTGCATAATTTTTGTGATTTCCACCACCACCAAGGAGCAAAAAAGTCGTAACATAATACTAATTATGCAACACCCCATTCAGAGAGTCTTTTAAAATCATCAAGTAAGTCCCCAATTTGCAATCACTAATATAGAACATGTCCATATCTAATTAATAAAACCTCTGGGGGGCGGTGCCTGTGGTTCAGTGGGTAGGACACTGGCCCCATATACCAAGGGTGGCAGGTTCAAAACCTGCCCCAGACAAAAACTGCAAAAAATAAAAATAAAATAAAGAAAATTTTAAAAAACTTCAAACTAAAACAACTGAAAGTAAAATTCAAAAAAATAAAATAGGAGCCATTACAATCAACACATTGTTGACAACTAGGAATAAGTTTGTTTCTTCCTGTAGTGTAGAACTCCATGCTTTCAAATTCCACAAACTCTTGGGAAGCATTTTCTGTATCCTGCTGATTGGGGAAGCATTTTCCTTGCAAAACGTCAAGATACTTGAAGTGGCAGTCCGTTGGCAACAGGTCAGTGAATGTGGTGGATGAGGCAAAACTTCATAGCCAAAGTGGCTCAACCTTTTTTTTTTTTTTCATTTGTATTCTCTTTTTAATTTTCCAATATTTTATCAGGCAATTTTACAGTATACAGTGATCACCCATACACCCACCACATACATTTTGTAACATTTTTCTTCTCCTTTCTCCTTCCCCTCCCCAACTCCCTTCTCCAGGTAGGGAATTTGTTCATAGGGACACAGTTTTTATGCCCCTCATCACAATGATCTCAGATTCCTGTTATTGAACAGGAGTGTGTATAAACAGAGGAGTCATTCTGTAGCCCCCCTGCTGGAGCACACACCTTGGTTCAACTTCTAAAGCATTGGTTGTGTGACATGCAGTCCGCTGCTGTGGAGGAGAAGAACTGGGCCCTTTCTGCTGACCAATGGCCAGCTGCAGACATTGCAGTGTTTAGTGCATCTCATCGATTCACTGAGCAGACTTCTCAGATGTAATGGTTTCACTGGGATGCAGAAAAGCTGTAGTGACTCAGACCAGAAGCAGACCACCCAACAATGATCATGACCTTGTTGGGGCAATGGCTTTAGAAAGTACTTTATAGGTTCTTGTGAGTCCAACCACGAGCTGGTTGTTGCCAGTTATATGAAATCCACTTTTCATCCCAGGTCACAATCTGATTGAGAAATGATTTGTTGTTGCATAGACTAAAAGAAGACAACACTTGAAAATGATAATTGCTCTGATTTTTGGTTAACTCATAAGGCCCCCACTTACCAAGCTTTCTCACCTTTCCAATTGGCTTCAAATGTCGAAGGTAGAATGGTCAACATCAACGTTGAATTCTTCAGCAACTTCTCCTGTACTTGTCAGAGGATCAGATTCGATGACTGCTCTCTATTGGTCATTGTCAATTTCTGATGGCAGACACTGCATCCCTCATCTTCAAGACCCTCATCGCCTTTGCAAAACTTCTTGAAGCCCCATTGCACTGTACGTTTGTTAGCAGTTCCTGGGCCAAATGCATTGTAGGTGTTGCGAGTTGTCTCCACTGCTTTATGACCCATTTTAAACTTGAGTAGGAAAATTACTTAAATTTGTTTTTGGTTTAACATCATTTCCGTAGTCCAAAATAAATATGTAAAACAAACAGCAAGCAATAAGTCATTAGCAAAAAACAAAGCCAGAAAGGCACGTTCAAATGATGTGTAACATAACTACATCTATTTAAGAATGTATGCTAGTATACACTTCCACTTCTTTTGGGGAAAAACACCTAGGAATGGAATGATGGGGCCATGTGTTTAAGTTTTTAAATCACTGCCAAACTGCTTTCCAAAGCAGATGTATTATTTTATATTCCAGACAAGAGTATGTGAGAGTCCCAGTTCTTTTGTATTCTCCTCAGTACTCAATACAGGTTAAACCCTACTTCGTCATGACATAGTACTATTTTTGTATATTGTTGGGTTTGATTTGCTAGAATTTTTTAGTTACTATTCACAAGGGAAATTGGTATGTAGACCACAGTTTTGTTTTTTTTCTTGAAATGTCTTACGTTTTGGTGTTGCTCTGATGCTTGCCTCTAACAATTTCTACCTTTAAATTATATCTTGGGACATAATTTATATTTACTGTGATTATTGATATGTCTGGGTTTAAATTTAGCACTTTTTTTCTGTTTGTCTCATTTTTGTTTTTTGTTTTCTGTTTGTCTCATCTTTTCTTTTTTTCTTTCCTACCTTCTGTTGAAATAATTAGAGTATCTTTGATAATTCTATTTTATCTTATTTATATGATTGTTATACATTTTTTAATGATTGCTCTGGAGTTTATGGTATACAATACATCATTAACAGTGCCTATAATATGATACCGATTCACGAATAGTGTAAAGATCATACAATTGTATACTTTCCTTTGTCCTACTGGGCCTTTGTGCTATTGTTGTCATACACTTTTACTTCTATTTATATTATAAACTCCACAATACACTGTTGCTAATTTGGGGGAGGGGGTTGTTTTTTGAGACAGAGTCTCATTTTGTTGTCCTGGATAGAGTGCTGTGGCATTATAGCTCACAGCAACCTCAAATTCTTGAGCATAATCCTCTTGCCTCAGCCTCCCAAGTAACTGAGACTACAGGTACCCACCACAACGCCTGACTATTTTTAGAGACAGTGTCTCACCCTTACTCAGGCTGGTCTCCAACTCCTGAACTCAGGCAATCCACCTCTCAGCCTCCAGAGTGCTAGGATTACAGGCATGAATGACCATGCCCAGCACAAAGCATTATGTTTTATTTATTTTTTGTAGAGACAGAGTCTCACTTTGTCACCCTCGGCAGAGTGCTGTGGCATCACAGCTCACAGCAACCTCCAACTCCTGGGCCCAGGCAATTCTCTTGCCTCAGTCTCTCAAGCAGCTGGGACTACAGGCACCCGCCACAACACCCGGCCACTTCTTTGCTGCAGTTTGGCCAGAGCCGGGTTTGAACCTGCCACCCTAAAGCATTGGTTGTGTGACATGTGGTCTGCTGCTGTGGAGGAGAAGATCTGGGCCCTTTCTGCTGACCAATGCGGGCTGCAGACATTGCAATGTTTAGTGCATCTCATTGATTGGGGCCGGTGCCCTACCCACTGAGCCACAGGCACTACCCAGCATTATATTTTAAAGAAAAAAAATCTTTTACATTTACCCATGTTTACCATTTCTGTTGCTCTTCATTTCTCTGTGTATCTCCATGTTTCCAACTCTATCATTTTCCACGTGCCTGAAGAACTTTCTTTTCAGTGTCTTCATTCGGTCTATGGGTGATAAATTCTCTCAGCTTTAGGCACCAGAAAATATCTTTATCTTGCCTTCATTTTTGTAATTTTTTTCTGGATCTAGAATTCTAGGTTGATAAGTTTTGTTTTCCAGTACTTTATTATTATTATTATTATTATTATTTGCAGTTTTTGGCCGGGGCTAGGTTTGAATTCGCCACCTCCGGCATATGGGACCGGCACCCTACCCTTTTGAGCCACAGGTGCCCACCCCCCCCCGTACTTTAAAGATGCTGCTCTATGTCTTCTGGCTTGCCCTGTTTTGGTCATTTTTCTTTGTTCCTTTGTTCCTCTTTGGAGGCTGGGAAGTCCAAGATCAAGCATTTGGCCATGTCTGGTGTGTGTCTCTTACTATGACATCCCAGGGCAGCAGGCCAAAGTGCAAGAGAGGGTGAGGAGGAGTCGTAACAGCCTTTAACCCGGGGCTTATTTGGCCCAACCGCTGAGCCAACATCCATGTCAAGATTCCGTCCTCCTCAGGAAGTTTTTCCACTCTATCTGGTTGGACTGCAAACTCCATATTTATGGCCCTGTGTTGCTCAAAGTTTCGTTCTCCTGGCTGTTTTCCAGTGATTCTTTCTCCAGCCTTGGTAGTTTTTCTCACAGGTGCATACTAATTAGTGCTCAGCTGAAGACTTGGGGAGCACCCTTCAGAACTCTTCTTTACTGCAGCTCTGTCCTCAGATTTTTGCCTCCCCAATCTTTATACTGTTGCCTCAGCTCAAAGAGGCGGCCAAACTCTGTTTGGATTTGTCTTCCAAGCTGTGCTGCAGCCTGGAAAATCTCCTATAGTCACGGGCAGTCATAGGACTCATTTTGTTCATTTCTTTCTCTGAGATGCCTCTGTCCTGTACCGCCTGCTATCTGATATATGAAAATAATTAGCTCACCTATTTTGACCAGTTGTTTAATTATCCTAAGTGGGAGGTTAATTCTGGTCCCTTGTTAACCATTCTGGGTAGTAGCAGAAGTCATACCATAAATTTTTAACTTCTTACTATTTTCTTAGTTAAATGGATAATCCAAATGTTGCATAAGTACATCTTTTGCATTCAAATTTTTTGAATCATTTCACTAGGTGGGAGAAGCTTAAAAAGAAAAAAGGTCTAATAGGAACAATTGAGAAAGGAGACGTGCAACCATGATACTTTGCCAAGATGTTGTACTAGCTAATAATTAAACAACTTAGGTAATACCTCAAAGGCTTCTAGAAAACATGTGCAAAAAATTATTTTAATTACTCATTATAACACTACTGTACAGCTTCAAGTCTTAGATCCTAGGACAGCAACATTTTTAAAATGCACCCCTCTGCTGTAATTTTGCTCTTAAGCAAAATTTTAAAAATTTGCTTATAAGAATGGGAGACATTGAACATAAAGCTTAACTTTTAAGCAGCCAGTTGTTACTCTAATGAAGCCAAAAGTATTCTACATTTTTTTTCTTTCTTTCTTTCTTTTTTTTTTTGAGACCATCTCACTTTGTCACCCTGGGTAGAGTACCGTGAAGTCATAGCTCACAGCAGCCTCAAACTTTTGGACTCAAGCAATCATTTTGCCTCGGCCTCCCATGTAGCTGAGACTACGGGTGCCCGCCACAATGCCTGGCTAGTTTGTTTGTTTTAGAGTCAGAGTCTTGCTCTTGAATCCACCTCAGCCTCCCAGAGTGCTAGGATTACAGGCCTGAGCCACTGTGCCCGGATGAAGCCAAAAATAAATAGCATCATTTTCCAGCACAAGTTGCAGAATGACAGAACAGAGAAAGAAACTCAGAAGAAATTATTTTTAAAGGAAAACTTTCAAAGTGAAAAAGTCTAAAAGTTATATTTCCCCTGGGAGTGTTAAAAAAGCAAATCATCTCGGATGATTTATCTCACATTTTCCAAACAGAAAAATAATCACCTTTGGGCCAACAGAAAGTACGGAAAGTGTCAAACACACAGTTTTCATAAAGGGGTCATAACAGAACAACCTCTGTGATAGGCTTATCAGAACCTGATCATCTAAGAGGTTTTTGTCAGCATGTCAGTCAAATAGATGAAATGAGCCCAAGAGGTTACCTCTGATCAAAAGAAAGGCACAGCAGAAATGTAAGGGTGCCATGCGTGAGGATATGGTTATCATCCTGCACTAATCACCTAAGAACAAAGCATGTTCTGCTCCTTTGTCAGGCTAAGTAAGATGGTTACAAAGCGCAAAGGATGTGGTTTCCTAATACAGCACAATCATTTTTCCAAAATAATTTAACCTCTTTAATTTAAAAACATGTACAAAAATCCCAACAGTTATAATTTATCAGATCTTATCACTACAGGAGGTCTTGAGAATAGCTAATTTATCTCCATATGGTATATGAAGACTAATCAAATATAAATGTTTCAATTAATAGTTTCTATAAACTCTTGCATATTCCAAATTATTGATTGAAATAACTATAGCTAGTATAACGTCTAAAAGTTCAGGCAAAACACGATTGCTCTTAAAACTAAACCAATTATCTCAAATACCAGAAAACGT